CATTATCGCTATCTCCAGAACTCTTTCATCATCCCAGATAGAAACCGTGCCCGTTAAACACGGACTTCCCGTTCCCCCCAGCAGCTGGCCACCTCTTTTCTACTTTCTGTCTCTATGAGTTTGCCTATTCTGGGTACCTCGTGTAAGTGGAATCCTACAATATTTGTCCTTTTGTGTCTGGCTTCTTTCACTTAGCATAATGTGGTTCATCCATGTTGTAACATGTGTCAGTACTTTATTTCAAAATTGGTTATTTTGAGGCACTTGGGTATCTCAGTCAGTTGTGTCCGACTCTTAATTTCAGCTCGGGTCATGATTTCCCGGTCATGAGATCAAGCCCTGCATCGGGCTCTGTGCTGGGTGTGGATTAAGATTCTCAAGATTCTCTCTCTCCTTCTCCCTCTGCCTCTCCCCCACTTGCACACGCTCTCTTGCTGTCTCTCTCTCTAAAAGAAAATGCAAAATTGATTATTTTAAACTACATTTTACCTAAAAGATTAAGGAAGAGGTGATTTAAAATGTTGCATCTCACAGTGCACAGCTGGTTCAGTCTGTGGGGCATGCACTTCTTGATCTCAGGGTCATGAGTTTGAACCCCACATTGGGCATAGAGCCCACTTAAAATAAAAAATAAGGGGCGCCTGGGCGGCTCAGTCGGTTGAGCGTCCGACTTCGGCTCAGGTCGTGATCTCACGGTTTGTGAGTTTGAGCCCCGCGTCGGGCTCTGTGCTGACCGCTCGAAGCGTGGAGCCGGCTTCGGATTCTGTGTCTCCCCCTCTCTCTGCCCCTCCCCTGCTCATGCTCTGTCTCTCAATAACAGACAGTAAAAAATTTTAAAAAATAAGTTAAAAAATTTTGTATCTCAGACTACGCAGACCATTTGAGAAGTCCTCGGGATACTTTGCCCAGCTCCTATCACTGGGCTTTGTTCTCTCCGGGGTAGGGGGTCTGTTTAATCCAAACCCTCAGTGAGAGGAGCCTTCCAGATGAAAGCAGTCCAAAGGGCAGGGTTTCTGCCTCTTGGTGATTTGGGGAAATAGAAAGATAGGGTAAACATGGACATAGATTTTGTTCATGCTGGTGCCTGGAAAGGTGGCCTCCAAAGACAAACACCCCAACTGTTACAGTTCGTTTGCTGCAGACTCTCATGCTGGAATTTGTGGCGAGAAAAGCGAAGACCCCAGGGGAACCGAAGAGTTTCAGGTTTCTCCGATAAGTACATTCACCCAAAGAAAATAATAAGGACACTAAATGGAATAAATATCAGCATTATTACATATATCTTAAATTAGTAATATCAGGCCCAGGGCAGTTAATTTAGTGAAATAGTACAGCATAGTACACGATAGCCTGGGCTCTGGAGTCACATTGTCTGGATTCAAATCTCATTTACCGTCTGTCTGACCTTAGGTAACTTCCCTAACCTCTCTGTGCCTCAGTTTTCTCATTTGTAACATGAAGGTAATGATAGCGCCCGCCTCTTGGTGTCGTTTTGTGGTTTAGATTAATTTAATACATACAGACTGCTTAGCATGCCCGGTACAATTACTGGTGCTTAGTGAGCGTTAGCGATTAGTATTACTGTGGATGCTTTCCCATTCTGGTGCATCCCCAGACGGTTTCTTTTTTAAGTAAGCTCTACCCCCAACAAGGGGCTTAAACCCATGACCCTGAGAGCAGGAGTCACACGCCGAACCAACTGAGTCAGCCAGGCGCCCCTCCCCAAACAGTTCTCTTAATAGCAAGTGATTCACAATAGCAGCGATGATATACAGCTAAGGAAGGAAGGCAGGGAGGCTGATTTGCTTTCAGAGGAGGATTCTTCTGGATCAGTCTTTCATCAAGGCATGGTCATACTGCCAGACCCTGAGGGTGGGGCACCGTGCGGCAGAAGTCAAGTGCAACTCAGGTGAATATGGCAACCACTGGTTCTTCGTCTTTAGTTGAGTCACAACCAACTGAAACCCTTGTAAGAATAGGGACCCCCGGACCCCGCCTCCAGAAAGTCTGATTCAGGAGGTCTGGGATGGGTCCCGGGAATCTGCGTAGTGAACGGGAGCTCACAGATGATTCCTGTTCTGGCAAGATAGTTTGTGGAAACACTTTGAAGAACACTGTTCTGGGGCGCCTGGGTGGCTCAGTTGGTTGAGCGTCCACCTCTTTTTGTTTTTTTAAATGTTTATTTATTTGAGAGAGAGAGGGAGGGAGACACAGAATCTGAAGCAGGCTCCAGGCTCCGAGCTGTCAGCACAGAGCCCGACGCGGGGCTCGAACCCACGAACTGCAAGATCAGGACCTGAGCCAGTCAGTCAACCAACTGACTGAGCCACCCAGGCGCCCCTAGCGTCCAACTCTTGATTTCGGCTCAGGTCATGATCCCGGGGTCACGTGATCGAGCCCTGTGTCGGGCTGGGCACTGAGTGTGGAGCCCGCTCCGGATTCTGTCTCTCTCCCTCTGCCCCTCTCCCTCACTCGCATGCCTGCTCTCTCTCTCTCTGTCTCTCAAATAAAAAGAAAGAAAGAAAAATGCTGTCATGGCTATTTTCCTTAGGAAGGAGGTTGGGGTCTGTGCAGGTACATGAGCGCCTCTAAGCAGTCAGGGAAAGGCTACTACGTTATACAGTGTATTTATTCGGTGCTTTGCTTCTATTCCCTTCTTGCATGCTCGTAACCGTCCTTTGGTGTAGGTGCCATAGTGCCATTTTCTTGTTTTAGTACAGATGAGGAAACGAAGCCTCAGCGAGGCTAAGTCACTTGACTGTAGTCACACAGCTAGTAGGTAGTAAGGTGGGATTTGACCCAGAACTGTCTGATCCTGGAGTTGTGTGTGTCTCTCTCTCTCTCTCTCTCTCTCTCTGTCTCTGTCTCTGTCTCTTTCCACTCTGCTGCATTGCCTCTTGTAAGATAGAGTGTTTGTCCCCAGGAACCTCACTACCTTCTGAGAGTTCCGTTTGACAGAGAGGGTTGGGGTAGGGGAGTTCTGAGAAAAAGGTTTGGAGTTGCATTCCGGCTGGCCTTATATGGGGAGGTAAAAGGAGTACCATTCTGACATCAATCTGAAGGGAATGGATTAGAGGGGTAGTCATGGGAGCCACCTGGGAACCCAGTCCTGAACTTGCCACATACATGCTTTGTTTGGCCAGCGTGGCATATTTAAAATCTTTCCATTTGGCATGGCGCACACTCTTCCAGTTCATCTATGGCCCTCTCGTTCCCGGTTCCCACTGTGGTTTCACATGTTGAGGTAACTCACGTGCCAGACCCCTGAAACATCTTTGAGTTTGCTACCCCTCTCAGCAGAATGAAGACGAGCCCAAGTGCCACGGTACGAATGCCCAGTATCTGTGAACACGTGTTTGGACTCACGAATACATACAGGACATACAGCCCGAGCATCGATAAGATAAATTTCCAGCCCAATAAATTTGTAAAGAGAGAGCGATAGTGGCCCATGTCAGCAAGTGGGACGGTGGGGGTGGGGGTGGGGGCCTGGCACTTCTCACGCACTTGTGGAGGGCAACTTGGGAACACGTAACAAGAATCTGTGATCTTACAATTATATTTTTAGGATGAGGAGATAATCCAACAATGGCACCGGGATGGTCAGTGCAGCGTCCGTCTCTAACACGAAGACTTTAGAAGCCAGTGAGACACCCACAATGGAGAATTAGTGAAAAACCAGGTTAGGTTTTCAAAGCATTTGATGTCACAGCGAACTGCTCCTGGCACAAGAGTAAGAAACATCATAACTGCAGAGTACATTACAATCCTAACTTTTATAAAACCACACGAATGTACACATAGAACAGTGAGTGGAAAGAAAGGAGTCAAAATGATCATCTGGGCAGAAGGACCGCGTGGATAATTGATGTTATTCTCTACCTTTCTGAAATTTCCAGATTGCCTATCATGAGCACATATTACTTTTGTAATAAAAGAAGCCCTGTACAAGTTATTAAGGGAAAAGAGAATATTTTGGCCATCTGAGTTTGAGAGATAATAGGGACTTGAACTTAGGTGGTAGCAGGGGAGATTGACGCAAGAGACGTTATTAAAGGCGACTCATTACAACTTGGGGACTCTGTGGGCGATGAAAGGTACAGAGTAAAAATAATCTCGAGGTTTCAAGCCTGAGTGATAGAGTGAACGGCAGTAACATCGACAGCAAAATCAGATCAATTATCTGTCTCAGAGATGGGAAAATTGCTTTTTTTCAATTTGCTGTCTAGAGGATAATATGTTATCCCGATGAGTCAGAGAATTCTATAATTTAGCGAGGCGGATACGCTGACAAGATGGACCGCTAAAAGCATAAGATGTTTTTGTTTGTGGTGG